TTATCACCTCCATCCTTCCCAAAGACATACTCGTCGATGCGATGCACAAGCCACATGACATTACGCGGTGTATTGCTCACTTGCTTCTCCATCTGCTCCGTCAGTCGTCGACACGAGTCCACATACCTGTCACTGAAGCCATCCAGTCGACGCTCCCAGAACTTATACATGGCGTTCACCGAGTACTTGGTCTTTTCCACAATCCGATCCTTCACTTCCCCCATAGTTATCGACGCCGGGACTACTGCCGGTCCTCGTGGTGTCTTCAGACCACGAACCACTTCGCTCCCTACAAGCGCCTGGCCGTCGTCCGTGGCTTCTCCATCATCAAAGTCGAACAGATCGTCGTCATCCTCGTCCTCCACCAGATCATCGTCTTCGTCTCCGTCCTGCAGGTCTCCTCTGTTGCCTGCATTTTTGCGTAGCTCGCGTTTGATACGTTTACGCTCCTCAATCTGCTTCATGAGCTCGTCGTTGTCCGTGTGGACGGCGATGATGCCGATTCCCTTGACGTGTGGCAAATGTTTGCCCTCTTCCATCCACTCGGGCGAATAAGTCGACAATCCGACGCCTATGAAGGTGAAATCTTCCTTCCTTGGATGCGCTGCGTGGAGTTTCCCATAATTTATGCGAAATTGTTTAGTAGAAGGTTCTAAAGTAAATGAAATATCGTTCTTACCCGCTCGATCCCTCATCTCCTGCAGGCGCTCACGACTGGAGTTGAAATCCACTTGGATACCCTTACAGTCCGGAGTCCGACGCTCACGCCACATGGCTCTAAATGATTACAACATTTGGTTCTGTTAGTTTTAATATGAGTTTATGGAGGACTTCAGGGCCTTTTAGGAGCGTGAATGCACTTACTTAGTGTATACGCTGACGCCCACGCAGTAGGTGCATGGCACAGTGTCGCTGGGGCTTGTGGACGGCGCGCTGCCGTCGTCTCCGCGACTCTCTGGTGGCACAGGAGGCATGATTGACAAACGTTTATCCAGCAAAGAAATCGCTTTGAAAAAAAAATTTGGATCTTCTACTTCGATATTAGTTTCTCATAATTAATAAATTCGTTTCTCACAGGAATCATCTAAATTCGGATCCACGAAAACAATGCACCTACGCCACGTACGCATCGAAGTGCCGGCAGCGGAGACTTCAACTAAGGCTAGTCGTAAGCTGCTGGCAATTATTGCCACGCATGAGGAATACAAGGATAAATCGCCTGAAGTCTTCGATGAGGCGATGGTGTATCTCCACGGGTTCCCAGACATGGGCGTGCATCCCACCAAAGTGGATTTCGCTTCTCGAGTTCCGGCTAAACTTGCCGAATTTTGGGTAAACCAGAAAGATAAGAAAAAAATCTTCCTAACTTTTAACTTCGGCGGCGTCCCAGGCTCGGACGATGAACTGCGATTCACAGACAAACTCATCTCCCTGGAAGTCGAGGACATGATCGTCGTATGCAAATACATTCGCTCCCATTTCCTAGGAGGAAAAGGCAAAGTCCATGCAGTTGGTCTCTCCACTGGAGCCATTTTGGGCGCTTTACTGCGTGATAAAATCGTGTCGGATACCATCACA